TCTGATAATATGGCAGCTAATGAATTACAACAACAATTTCGGACAACTTATAAGGGTTTTCATTCTGTGCCAAGATGGGAATTCGATCTAGGGAGATGCTCCAGTGCGATTTCGCGCATCTTGTCACTGCGCAATCCCTGCGCCCTATTCACAAGAACCCAAAAATGGAAATTCCTACATTCTTGCCCTGCCTCATAAGCGCGGCCAGTTATCATTACGACGCGCTTCGATATCACTCGATCCTTTTGATAATCTCCGTTTCATATCAGCAATTGATTAGCGTAAACTTCCAAATCAGCACTTTCACATTTGGCTTTTTAGGGCTCTTCTTGAAATTCAGCAGCATCCAGCTGTGCTTTCAGAAGTTTTAACAGATCATTTTGTCTCTCAGTACTTCTAAGACTAGTTTCTGTGTTACTGTAAACCTCCAACTGCCCTGGCGGGGAGAAAACTGATGTTTGATCCCCTCCCCTCTTTCCAGAGCCTTCCCCTCCCCATACCTCCCCTCAGATAACGCATCCAGCTTAGGTCCAGCTTGGCCTATTTCCCCTAGAAAATTCGTCAATGTTAAGGTCCTTTCTTGCCTTTGAAAAATTGTCTTGCTCTGAAAAATTATCTGTTCTGGAGGCTAGGGGCGACTAGTGGAAGGGAAATTGCCGCAGAAAGAAACCGACGAAAATCTTTCACCCTTTGAAATAGAACACGACGAACCAGCATGAGTAGCACAGCCCCTATCCTTCAACCCAAGTACGACCCCAGATCGAGCTTTGTCAAAAATTTCGCACCCGATTAGGGAATTTCGCAGTTCTTCATTTTCTACGCAACCTGATTTCTATCATAAGCACAAATTAAGTGCAATCACGCGTTAATCGTACGCCTTGTTAGTCTGCCACATTAGGTGGCACGGTCCATCACCGTATACCAAGCGCTAGACCGCCTTCTCTCCTTTTACACCTTTCACGCACATCACACCAACATGCCACCTACTCATCTGGTTGATGAAGATTTTCTGGTATGTATTGAACCAACACTGACATTTTTGATTTTAAAAAAGTCACATTTCAAGTCCAACACTTTTCGTAGAGAAAGTCCCACATTCCGCTTTTTCAGAAGTACGCCATGGAGTCGTACGTTGCTGATGTTAATGAAGATGCCAACAAGACGACTATCATTTTTACGTTAACCGAAAAACCTGGAGCTCTCGCTGAGACCCTTAAAGTATTCCAGGTAAACTTCAGAATTCCTTTTTCCTGAACACGGCATTCCCCAACAGGGAGGGGGGTCGTATTTGGACTGACAAAAGCTTTATAGCAGATAGTTGATTTTCTCGGTTTCACGGTGGGTTGTGAAGGGAGAGAGCCGTTTACTGCTCATTGTTGGGAGCGGGAGGGGGGGGTCGTATTTACTTTTTGGCCCTTTTCGTGATTTTCCTGTTTCATGCGTAGTATATATTACCTCCCCTTCCCTCCCCCATGCTAGACGCTCCATTCAATGAGGAGGGGACAGCGGGCAGAAGGGCTGGAGGGGGGTCGTACCAACCCCAGAAAAAGCGGAGGGGGTCGTACGGACTCGACTAAATTTCCTAACCAATGATGTGCCCTGTCCTGAACTGCTCTCTTCTTCACTTCCCTAATTTTCGTGCATTCTCTTAACAGGTTGAGAAACGGAACGACTTTATGGCTTTCGTGATCAGTTTTCTGTAATTATGAATTTACGGTAAAAAACCTAATCTACCGCTCTTTGGGTGAAGCTTATTTTTGCAGCACTGGCCTAAATTGCTTATTTGTTATTTTTATTATATTATTGCGATCACTGTACTTCATTTATATATCTGCTTCTGTCCTTGTGTTGATGCTATTCCTTTTATTTATATTTTTGATTATTAACACTTATTTGATTTTGGACAGTTTCCTTTGCTCCATGAGACATTCAGCCTTTCGCAACAGCGCTCTTGCTTTTTTAATCAGCTCGTTTATTATTTCTGCAAAACATTGCATGTTTCTTCCGTGCGATTTATGCTAGTGCCGAAGGTGAGAATCGGTGGTGGAGACGGGTAATAATCTTGTTAATCGAAGGGAAGGGGGGGGCAGGCTCAACTGGTCCACATTTCGTGTTCCCAACGTGTTACCGCAGCGTTACCATTTACTCTCGATACGAAAACGGCCTTAATAAGGTACTACATGTGCCATACGGAAAGCGATGGTTCCTTGAGATTCCTTCACGAGACCAGAAAAGAGTGCAAGAGCATGCAAGCTGCAACCGAACGAACGTCAGACCCTAGTAAGGGTGGCACTTAGAAGCCACTCGAGCACAAACTGGTGCAAGGTTGGGAGCTGTTGGGCTAGGAGGAGCACTTTGCCCTCATTTCGCGAGACCTGCAATTACTTGTGAAACTGCTAAGTGGTACAGCTGAGCCGCCTTGGTCGTAGGGATTCAAGGGTCTTGCCCATTCGGTCTGTACCAGCTTCGCTGAGTACCACTCGATACCTTACCATACCGGACTGCAACCAAGGTTGGCCACTTTACCCACACAAGGCTTTGATTTCTATGTATTAATGAGAAATAAACCTTTTTAACTTCAAGCCGAACCTTTGTTTTTACCGCTCGGACATGTTTCACTCTAGGACCTGGTCAATGCCTTTCTGTCCTAAGGAACTGTTGTCCTCTTCATTCTGTACGATATTTGGCCCTGCACGGTATAGGACCGTGAAGTCACAGATGTCAAAATGTCCCTAACTTTTCAAAAAGCATAACGGGGAATAGTGCACTACACTCTGAGGGCATAGACAGTAGGCTCGCTCCAAATGGGTATCCTCTTGTTTCCCCTTGAAGTTAAGGGCTTTGCACTTCTCCACAGCCATGTTTGAAACCTGAACGTGGCTTTTGGGCAGGTCCATTCTAAATAGTGAATAGTGAGGAAAGTGAGGTGATAAGGAAAGGAGCTGATATCGTCGTGATAGCGACAAATTGAGAATTCGTACGGCTTCTCTTCGCTGTATGCACATATAAGCTAAGGCCAGCAGGGCATCCTATATAAGGCGTTTTGGATGGGTTCTTCTTTCTTTTTAGTCACTATCCAGTCATTCCTGTCCCCATAACCCACCTGAGTGAGACGCGGGCTTTTCCTTCAACATCGAATGAATGGAATACAATACTTCTAAAGTGCTCTAGGCACTGTTTTTTCTGGTTGGTCTTTCTATTATATATAAGACTCCATCGTGTGACCGCACTGGCAATTAATACCAGTTGACTAGCCATTGTTTTCGTTTTTTCGCCGGTACGGGCTATCAGTGGCGTGGAAACGGGTTCTCCTGCGGTTAGGTCACCACGTGAATGTTCGTAGTTGATTGAATGACTGGAGAAGAACAAGCGCATTAGCGGGGAATTCCATGAAATTAGGCCCAAGGGTAATCAGATCATGTGACATGGCATGTTCAAAGATCTTGGAATTCTAAGGAAGGCTCTCATTTCAAGAGTTTTATCGAGTCAAAGTGTTCCCCCCCCCTTTTTTTTGCCATCTCAAAAGAAGGGGCGTTCCGATGGGGTGGGCATGACAGTCCTCTGTTTTTGGACATGTCTTCAGCAAGGACTTCACCCTGAAATGGTTGATTCAAGCGGACCCCAACCCGGCTTTTGTTCCAAGGTGGAAAGGGCTAAGTCGTGAGCAGTGGCAGTTCCTCTAGAGTAAGCCGCGCATTCTATTTCTAGTGGCTTTCCACAGCATATGAGTGCGTATTCGGCGCGAAAAAAAATGAGTGATTTAGTCTCAGCCATTGAGCTAGAGGGCAGGAGCGATCTAGGTGAGGTATTGTATAGGAAGCTCTCCCAGTCAGCTTTATATGCGGGTTCAAGTCCCGCTGCATATTGTCTTTGCACTACAGCATTCTGGTGGTAAGTTCTAAACCGCGAACTGCGACGATAAACAGACAAAATAAGTATTTCAAATAGATGGGTAAGTTACCAAGGGGTTGGAAACCTTGCCTTCACCATAATTTTACCATTATGATGGCTCCCCTGGTTTTCCCAAGTACTACATCCACTACAGAAGGATATTTTGCAGGCTCATGAGGTTAATCTCTCCCACATCGAATCACGGCCTTCGAAAACACATTCAGGGATGCTACGAAATCCTAGTGGAATGTACGGAGGATTCCGATCAACACAAAATCGAAGAGGTACGCCTCTTAATTCATATTATGGCGGTCTATGTTATAGCTGGACACTTAGTGTTTAGCCTCATCCAAAATTGTTCAAAGAAAAAAAGGAGATGACCTGATGGTACACGATTGGAATGCACGTAACAAGCAGAATAAAGGTAGGTGAAGGTACAGCTTGTCCGGGATCTTGTAACAGGGAACAGGGGATTGCGAAATCACGATTCACCCTCCCAAGAGAGGTATTGACGTGCCCCTCTATTCCAGTACCTACCTCTGGGACTCCCAGTCGGACCATCATTCTGACCGAACTTCCAGAAATACTGAGATTATGCAGCGATAGGGAGATCTTCGACCAACCGTTAATGCATTTGGAGCGGAAAAAACGGGCAGCTGCCGAGAAACGATCCCAACTACGACCGACCCCTCCCCTCCTTTGGCATGGGACCAACAAACGAAAGCCACGATCAAATCACACAATGTTACCGTATACAGATTCTATCCCATGGTTTCCACGCCGAATCAAGGACATCGACCAGTTCGCAAATCGAATTTTGAGCTATGGAGCCGAGCTGGATTCTGATCATCCGGTAAGTAAACTTTATACCTTGGAGCTGGGAGGACGTGACTGCGTACTTCCTCTGGAGCTGTGACACCTGCACTCTTCAAATATGCAAGGAAGAGTGAGATGAAGAAACGCTGGGCGCTTAAAAGAGAGTTCAGAGAATTGAGGGGAAACAGCTACACAGTGGTTAAAAGTACGAACGTTAGGATCAGTACATCATGAGGTGAAGGCATGCTGCAATGATGTTATAGGAGTAGGCAAGCAGGACTAAGAAAAAGACTGAGCTGTAGAAAGCATAATGGCATTATCCCCCTCAATTGCTTACGTTCCCTTTTACGTTCCCTTCTTACGTTTTCGAATCATTTTTTCAATCACGCCAGGCTAACAGGAACATGTCCTGCCTACCTTGTGGTCGGGTAGAATGGTGGACTAGCCCTAAATGGGAAGTCCCGGTCACTCAATTGATCAGCTGCTTCTTGAGACTATGGGAAGCGTAATGGCGAATGATCACGTAAAGCGCTGACGGAAAAGCCACCTACAGGGACATCCCATGACGTTCGGGAAAATTGCCAGTTGAGCACAATCCCGCTCCTGTCACCTTGAATGTGAGTGACGCCCTTCACAGGCCGAGACGAAGTGGGGAAAGGAAAGCGCT